GGGGGTACCTGGTTCAGGAGGAGTCGGTAGCTGGAGTCGGAGTTGGCCAGAATGGTCATGGGCTGGTTGACGGGGTGGCTTCTCAGGAGCACCCGGATGGCCGCACAGTCCTGCCTCATGATGGCCTCGTAGAGCCTGATGTGGAGGGCCGCGGCTGGGCCTTCTTCCAGGGGCTTGGCCCCGTCGGCCACCAGCTCCCTGCTGCCTCTCTTGGTTATGTTTCCCATGAGCAAAACTTCAAAGAGTAGGGACTTGGAAGTTCAGGGGACACTTGTGACAGAATTGGTCAATTTTAGTCTCATTATGACCCCTTCAGTTCCATTCTAGAACTGTGAAGTTCTGTGAAGGCTTGTATCTGTGAACAAGGTTCACTTTTCTATCAGGCTCAACTTTTTAAAGCTTTGTTGTTAGGTCATACAGTGGCAGATAGAAACATGGTTTGGGGACTTTTTTCAGTCACAAAAACAGCCAAATTATCGTGTGCATGAGATCATTTCTGTGTTATTCTCCATTCGGCGATAGTTAAAAAAAAAAGAACAAAGCTAAAACAGGAATTTATAGGTGCAAATAAAAAATTAAAATTATTACATTTAAAGTAAGAAAAGCCAACTTTTAACCTAAATACGTTTTTTGTTTTGAGTAGAAGGCCTCTTCCCCTCAGTGTGGGCGCAGGTCTGTGCTGGCACAGGACTAGTTACATTGGGAGAAGTTTTGGGTCTGCACCGGTTGCTTAAATAGAGCTGAATGTGTCCCTTCACAGTCGCAGCCCTGGCTAACAGAAAAGAATCATCCAGGAGCTTTTTACAAATATCAAAATGTTCTCATTAAAAAAAGAAATCTGGGGCGCCTGGGTGGCTCAATTGGTTGAGCGTCCAACTTCGGCTCAGGTCATGATCTTGCGGTCTGTGAGTTCGAGCCCTGCATGGGGCTCTGTGCTGACAGCACAGGGTCTGCTTGGGATTCGTTCTCTCTCTTTCTCTCTCTGCCCCTCCCCTGCTTGCTCTTGCTCTCTCTCTCTCAAAATAAAAAAATAAACTTAAAAAGAAAATCAGTCTTTGGCTTGTTGGAGAAGATGATAGTTTTTAAAAGCTTCTCAGGGAATTCTGACGCTCGGCTGACCAGTTGTGAACAAAGTGTGCTCTGTTAGTGGTTCTCAAACTTGGAATAACGTGGGGACTTCTATTACTATTTTTTTGTTTATTTATCTAGAGAGAGTGTGGGGCAGGGGGAGGGGCAGAGAGAGCGAATCCCAAGCAGGCTCTGTGCTGCCAGCCTGGAGCCCAGTGCAGGGCTCGAACTCATGAACCGTGAGATCATGACCTGAGCTGAAATCAAGAGCTGGACACTTAACCAACTGAGCCACCAAGGCACCCCAACACGGAGAACTTTAAATAATACTGCTGCCTGCGTGCACCCCCAAGAATTCTGATTTTATTGGTCTGTGGAATGGCTTGGATATTGGGATTTTTTTTTAAAGCTCCTTGGTGATTCTAATGTGCACTTGAGTTTTAGAACCACTGCTCTAATTTTTCATTTTTGAGGGGCTCCCTGCTCCTGAGTTGAAAACTCTTAATGTCTATGCATTTTTACAATTTGTTTGAGAACACCAAGGAATTGTTCTGTTTGTTTACAGCCTAGAAATATTTTTCTTCATGGCCCTGATCAGCAAGTAAAAATAGGTGACTTTGGTCTGGCCTGCACGGACATCATACAGAAGAACACAGACTGGATCAATAGAGATGGGAAGAGTAAGTTTATTTTGGTTGTGTTCTTTTCTATCTTTTTTTTTTTTTTTTTGGCATTAAGGAAAAAAGAGGCATGATTGAACTTGTGGATATATTTTCACAAATGTTAGAGACATACAGTGCAGGTGGGGGAGGGGCAGAGAGAGGAGGAGACACAGAATCCAAAGCAGGCTCCAAGGCTCCGAGCTGTCAGCACAGAGCCCGACGCGGGGCTCGAGCCCACAAACCACGAGATCATGACCTGAGCCGAAGTCGGACACTTAACCGCCTGAGCCACCCAGGTGCCCCTGTGCTTAAAGAGAATCACAAAGACTTAATATAATAGCAAAAGTAAGATAAAAACAAAAAGCAACCATCGTTCCTTCGGGGGCTACAGTGCCCTGCTCAGAGTCCGTGTTCTTTATTGTAGACAGTGTGAACTCCGCAGTGTTTAAATGTCTGGCTTTTCCAATCGTAGGAATGCCCACGCACACTTCCAGAGTGGGTACCTGTCTGTACGCCTCCCCTGAGCAGTTGGAAGGATCCGAGTATGATGCCAAGGTAGTATTCGCTGCCTTTCTCCCTTTTGTTAGACGGAGTCTGCGGTCATGAGTAGCAGAAGCGCAGATAAATGCGATGGCCGGTCTCGTGCAGAGGAACTGGGGAGATAACTGAGCAGGGTACCTTGTCTGTTACATCAAACTGTCAGAACAGGAAAGCTAGCTTTTCAGCAGAGTCTGACGGCACTGACTTTTAGGCTATTTTACCGCTCATAAATCCGTGGGCGTCATAAATTATTTTTGAAATGAGCCTTCCCTTTAGAAGGTCACTGTTAACCTCGGGATGCTAGAATTCATAGAAGCCTGTTTTAGCCTGCCTTTCTTCTGTTTTCTTAAAAAAATGCTAAATAACGCTACAGGAAACTGTGGTTCTTGATTCCCTTTGAAGTAGAATGAAGATACTGAAGAGTTTTAGTCCGTTTTGTTCCTTGAAGGAATGTCGAAGTAAATCCATTTCTCAGAATAACAGCCTAATAGATTTTCTTTCTTTTGATGAATCATTCAGCTTTTTAGTGACTAGGAATAAACTGTCAGAAAAAACCATGGCGGTTCCTAAAATCCTATCTGGCAAAGGCTTTTCTCTAGAAAAACTCTTTCAGGCAAAGTAACACATTTTCTGCAGCTTGTTGAACTTCCCCAGAATGCTTACCCATGTCTAGAGGCAGAGGGGGCACCACCGGAGCAGGCCGCAGGGACACTGTGACCCCCTTAGTTGGGACCAGCCCTTGTGGGCTCACACCTCTCGCTCTGGCTGCTCCAAGCCTGGATTTGCAGGGAAGTGATAGTGTGGTAGTGATTGTGGGTGCTGGGGGTTACCCTGCCGCTCGCCCGGCTGTCCATCCTTTGTGCCCGTGGATGCCCCTTTTTGCTGTTTAGAGACAGGGATTGTGACAGTACCAGTCACCTCTCCCTCAGGGCCATTGCTGCAGGTGGCAGACACATGCTGCTGTGAGGGGTGAGTCCGCCCACTAGGTTTTCTTCCTCGTGAGGTCTGTGAACCATCCTTCCTTACAAAGGAAAGGGTACTCTCTCCCTGTGTGTTTCACCACTAAATTCCCTTTCCTCCGCTTTCTCCAGTCAGATATGTATAGCTTGGGTGTGATCCTGCTGGAGCTCTTTCAGCCGTTTGGAACAGAAATGGAGCGAGTGCAAGTTTTAACAGGTTTAAGAACTGGTCAGATACCTGAATCCCTCAGTAAGAGGTGTCCTGTACAAGCCAAGTATATCCAGCTCTTAACTAGAAAGAACGCATCTCAGAGACCGTCTGCTGTTCAGCTGCTGCAAAGCGAACTTTTCCAGAATTCTGCAAACGTATGTATATATGTATTTTCTTCATTCTTTTTTTTTAAAGTAAACTGCCCAACGTGGGACTCAAACTCACAACCCCAAGATGAAGAGTCACGCGCTCCACTGACTGAGCCAGCCAGGTGCCCCTTGTATATGGATTTTTAATACTGGGGAAAATATGAAGCTTAAAATAGAATTTGAATTGTGAATCTGATTTCACGAGGAACAGTTGAGCTTAGAATAAAGTTTGTGGGAGCCAGACATTTAAACTCCTTCCCAGAGTTCCCAGTAACACACTTTTCATAGTCCAAGAAGCGAGGTGACCACTGCCGACCGTCTACCGTAAACATGTAATTGTAGGCTGTGCTTTTTAGCCCCATCTTGCTAAGTCAGAAGGCTTTCTTTTTCTTTCCAACCGTGATGTATAACCTTTTCTAAATGATTATAACACACCCACTAGTAAAAAGGAGCACCTGGCAAAGGGTGAAAGCAGGAATTCGTGGGGGGAGGTGGAGGGACGGTGGCAGAGACCGCCTTAGCCCGTCTGCGATCCTTCCGCATGCAGGTGTGTGTCTGGTTCTCAGTCCTGTGATCGCCCCAGGACACCCCCCTTCCTTTCCTCCTTCCAGACGTGTTACAGAGCCAAGCACCGTCCCTGGTCTGCATGTACCGGAGAAACATCCGTTCTGTTTCTCTAGAAACTTTCTGAGGTTTAACGAAAGCTTGATTCAAAGATACATTCGCAGATCCTCTAGCGATTTGCTCCTCCAAGTGTGGGGGAGGGCTGATGAGAATGCACAGGGTCTTGGGCTCCACCCCAGATGTGCCGAGTCAGAATCCGCATTTAACAAGACACCCCGAGTGAGTTGCACACCCTGTGCTGGAGCAGTATTGCATTCACTGCCCTGGTCCTCACGGTGCAGTCTCCAGGCAAGCAGCATAAAATCCTCAGGAACCTGCTAGAATTCTCAGGCCCTCTTTGGTGCCCTGACCTAGTCCGAGAGAAGTCCCGGGGAGGGTGAGGGAGCAGCGGTCTGTGCTTAACACACACCTGAAGTGGCTCTGATGCACGCTAGTCTGGGGACTATTTGTGCCATCTGTTTAGTGGATCTGTTTCCTACTTAAGGCTTACTAATTTTCAAGTAAAACCGTGAATTTCACTGGCTTGAATGATAAACAGGTGGGTGTAGTACTTTGCCGAGTCTTTGAAAATAGTAGATGTGGTTATTAAATTTATCTCCTCCTCCCATTTAAGTCAGATATTAGATGGGGCGCCTGGGTGGCTCAGTCAGTTAAGCGTCTACCTTCAGCTCGGGTCATGATCTCACAGTTCGTGGGTTTGAGCCCCGCATCGGGCTCTGTGCTGACAGCTCAGAGCCTGGAATTCTTTATGATATAGCCTACACATGCCTATAGAGATAAAATTTGTACATACAGGCAGTCATTGCTTTGCGTGGTCATACAGACTGAAAATGACCATGCTGAGCTCAAACCATGCAAATGGATGTTAGTAGTCAATGGGAAGTTACAGTTGTCCCGTGACCTTTAAAAATGTTTCTCAGAGAGGCACCCACATGGCCCAGTCTGTTAAGCATCTGACTTTGGCTCAGGTCATGATCTTGTGGTAAGTTTGAGCCCCGCATCCGGCTCTGTGCTGACAGCTCGGAGCCTGCTTCAGATTCTGTGTCTCCCTCTCTCTCTGTCCCTCCCCTGCTCATGTTCTCTCACTCACTCTTTCTCAAAAATAGTAAAAAATTGTTTTTAAATAAAAATGTTTCTCCAGACATTAAAACTTGTCAGTTTCAGATGTACATGGAAACGAAGCCAGTTGTAAAACTAGTATTTAGTGCACTGTGATTAAGAAAGTGTTCAGGAGTGGCGTGAACAGCGCCTGCTTCCATCTCCTAAGTAGAATTTAGGATACAGAATGAACGTCTTTTCTATGCCTTGGTGCCTTGTGTATTCCTTTTCTTTTTTTTCTTTAACATGTATGTATTTAAAAAAAATTTTTTTAATATTTATTTTTGAGAGAGACAGAGCACGAGGGGGGGGGGCAGGGGCACAGAGAGAGGGAGACACAGATTCCGAAGCAGGCTCTGAGCTGTGAGCTGTGAGCATAGAGCCCGATGCAGGGCTTGAACTCACAGACCGTGAGATCGTGACCTGAGCTGAAGTCGGACACCTAACCGACTGAGCCATCCAGGTGCCCCAGTGTTTATGTATTTTTGAAAGAGTGCACACACACAAGTGGGGAAGGAGCAGGGGGAGTTGGGGACAGAGTTTCTGAAGTGGGCTCTGTGCTGACAGCAGAGAGCCTGATGCTGGGCTTGAACTCGTGAACCGTGAGATCCTACCCAAGCTGAAGTCGGACGCTTAACCGACTAAGCCACCCAGGTACCCCTAACTGTACACTCCTAAGTTTGGATTGGCTCCCAACATTTTATCCTTTGCACTTCCAGTGTTGTGAAATATCTCCCAAGGGTTTTTCAACATGAATTTTGCTGTTACTTTCTCTGGGACATCTTCATCCTTTTCCTCATTTATGTTAAGTCATCTTCCTGGGCCCTGGGGCTGCGCATCCCATCTGTCTGGTGGCGGCAGGAGCAGCAGCCCCACAGTCAGCTGTTTCTTCTCGAACATCACTTAGGTGTGATATGGTTTCCCCTCCAGCATCATCGCTTCTCATTAGCTTGGGGCACTTCTGTCTTGGTTGGCTGGTTCCGTTTTCAGTTATTCATTTTATTTCAGTTATTTATTTATTTATTAATTTATTTATTTAAAAAGATCTTAATTTTTTTTAATGTTTACCTATTTTTGAGAGAGAGACAGACTGCAAGTGGGGGAAGGGCAGAGAGTCGGGGAGACACAGAATCTAAAGCAGGTTCCAGGCTCAGATCTGTCAGCACAGAGCCTGATGCGGGACCGGACCCCATGAACTGTGAGATGTGAGATGACACAAGCTGAAGTCGGACGCTTAACCAGCTGAGCCACCAGGGGACCCAGTTATTCATTTTTAAAAACTGTCTCATGGGTTTGTCACTGGGGACGAGTAGGCAACACAACCACACACATTGGCAGTACTGACGCAGTGACCAAGCACTGACAGTCAGAGTGATGCTTGGCCCCTGGTCGTACATCGTGGACTGAGGTGCTGACAGTTGCGGTTATGCAACAGTGGGAACCTCCCCCTCGAACACATTGCTGGGTGCCTGGCGCTGCTTCCCTAGCCGCGGTAACTGGAATTCAGGCCCACCGGAAGCATGCGGAGGGAGGAATGCCTGGATGTTTAAAATGGAGGAAGCCGTTTTAATGGAGCTTAAAATGTTCTTCTTACAGGTTAACCTCACTCTACAGATGAAAATAGTAGAGCAAGAAAAAGAAATTGAAGAACTGAAGAAGCAGCTGAGTCTCCTTTCTCAGGACAGAAGGGCTAAGGACGACACGAAGGACGGGAGTGTGCCCGTCTCGCCTTCATCAGGCTCTGTAAATGTGACCTTGGACTTCTAATCCTTCAGTCAACTGGAATGTAAATTTTTAGTCTTTATTAGGGTATGGATGGTATACTTGTATTTAGTGAACCTGTACAAGACTTATTAAAGTTGTAGAAGTTCCCCCAAACTGCTTTTCCTTCAGGCATTCTTCCACAAGCCAGCATTCTGGACTGAAGCCTTCTCTAAACTAAACCTATTTTTTTGCCCTTGTCCTTGTCTATGAGTTCCTGATTTTTAATATCACGGTCTCTGCCGTCTCTGAAAGCAGAGATTTAGACACCGGGCTCAATTTGTTCTCCTTTGAGCTCTGCCTGTCGACCACCAAGCCCTCCTCTGGAACATTCTGCACAGATCTGGGTTTGTGCCCATCCCATCACTGCCCACGCCCAGGCCTGCACGCTCGCCGGACTGGATCACTGCCCGTCTTCCTCCCCCTTCCGTGCCATTGCTGCCAGTTCATTACCAGGAAGACATCTGTGCAGATCACTCCCTGGCTCAGAAGCTCCTGCTGGCTGTCTGCCGCCTCTGAGATACAGCTTCAGCTTCTTAGCATTACAGTGTGCATCATCCAGCCTTTCTGTTCCCTTCACCTTCAGCTCGGCGTCCTTCCAAAACCACGCCCTTCTTGAGCTTTGTGCCTCTTCCCCCAGATGATCTGAATGATCTCACGGTAGCTCTGGGATGTGTGTACCTGTTCTCCCCGCCCTGTTCCCACGGGGCGCGCCTTTGCTCCCACAGGGCCGGCTCCCGGCCAACCTATGTTCCCCAAAGGCAGCCATGGGAGATGTTCACTGCATCTCAGAAACGTCTGCCACGTAGCCTGCAGCCATCCTGGTATATTGCACACAATGTTGCTGAGTTTTAAATAAAGGAAAACCATAAATTGTGATACCTTTATTCATTCTAGACAACTGAGCTAAGCAGACTTTGATTTTAGTACAAGTCCTTTACCCCCAACAGGCAGGAAACAGCACCATTCATGAAGTCAGCCTTTTACAGGTACCGAAATTCACTGAAGGAGCTTGAGGGCAGTGTTGAAGGGGGCCAGGTTCTCACACGCCCTCATCCACTTCTGCACGTTGGCCGGCACTGTCATGCTGCCGCCTCCCGTTTGCTGGAGCACGGACCACAGCACCACATCTGCCACAGTGAGTTCATTCCCAACCAGCCAGGGGCTCTTGCCAAGAGCGGAGTTCATGGAGCGGAACACAGCGGCTTTTTCTTTACTGCTTCCCTCTTTTAGCTGAAAAACCGCTATATCTACCCAGCTATCTATGAGGGTTAAATTCACAGCATTCTGCTTCTGGCCAAACAGAGAGAACAGAAACCGGGCGATGTTCCCTTCTCCTTCGATGGGACACATCGTTTGGACGCTGAACTTCATCTGCGTCTTCGGCACTGAAGGGAGAAAAGCACACCATGTAATGGCCATGAGAGCAGCCCTCAGAAGGAAGTGCCTGAACGATGGGGAAGGGGATTTGCCAGTTGTGAACCGGTGGCAAGGGAAAGGGGTTTCAAGATCACGATTTTAGCCTGTCTCCAAAGAGTGCACTTTTCAAGAGAGTTTAAACCGGATGGGTGGAGAACGTAAACTCTGTTGAAAGAGTAAGCGTTTCTGGTATTTGATTATGATGGTTTTCAAGCTAGAAAGGCCCTCAGACCATCTACTCCAACCCCTGTGCCTAACAATTTGCAGGATGAGGACTGGTCACCAGGAGTCCCACGTGCCATGCTGGGAGCTCCGTCTACTTTCACGGGGGCTCCTTACGGGTTGCTGAGGCGGCGAGGGGGTTCTGGATGAACCTCGCTCTGGATGAACGAGGGGGTTCTGCTCACTCCACTACCATATAAACGTAACCAGAGAGGCATACGTCAGAGGGATGGCGAAGAAAGGACAGCCTGCCACCCTTTCCAGGCTATTTGAAAAGATAACGCTGATGTCCCTGTAATACGTCTGGAAATGGGAGGTCAAGGTGGCCAAGACTGCCCTTTCTCTCCTGCTCTAGCTGGTCAGACAGGATCCTCCCTAAAACCGCTGTCAGAGACGCTAACCTTCCTAGAGGAAGGAGGACATCTTTGCCTCAAGGTTCATCTGTGCTCCTTTTCTAGAACTACCTGACATGCTTCCTAGACTTTGAGAGAATTTGACCTGATAGCAAGTCATGGTCCTGGCCCCTTAGGAAAGGCACGGTGCACGGCTCAGTCAAGGGCGCGTGAGCCCAGCCCAGGGCCGTCTGCTTACCATTCTTCCAAATTAGAGTAAAACCCAGCTGATACTCGTGACGGGGCTGTTTTTTGGTCTGGTCGCCAAAGCACTTGAGGAGGTTTTCTGGCACACTCTTAACTGCAGAGTGCGTGTGAACGGTGGACAGGACCCTGTAGTGGTCACACAGGAGCCTGTGCAGCACGAGCAGGGACAGGGGAGGGGAGGCAGGGTTTGCGTTGATCACGATGTCTTTCAGCGCCCCGTAATCCTGCGGGAGAAACCCAAACATGAGGAACGTTAACAGCAACTCGATTGTATGTAATTGTACCAGGTGCCGTTCTTAGGGCCTGACCAGGGTTATTTAACTGGGTCCTCGACGCCCACGAAGAAGGTCCTGCTCTCACCCCATCTCACAGCTGAGGAAGCTAGTTCTGGGGGGCAGATGACCCGCCAGGCCCACAGCTCGGTAAGAAGTGGAGCGGGGACGGGAGCCGACTGCAGCCCCTTCACCTCTGCGCTGTTGGCCCTCGACACCGTGAAATCAGGAAAACGACACATGAAGAATGACACCACTGGGGCAGCAGGGTGGCTCCGCCGGTTGAGCACGTGGCTCATGATTTTGGCTCAGGTTGTGATCTTGCAGTTGGTGGGACTGAGTCCCACATCAGGCTCTGCGCTGACTGTGTGGAGCCTGCTTGGGATTCCCTCTCTCCCTCTCTCTGCCCCTGCCCTGCCTGTGGGCGTACTCTCAAAATAAATACAGGTAAAAAAAATAATGGCACTACTATTTGTTCCTAAGTTATTGAAGAAAAAAAAAACCCCACACACGCAATTACTCCATTCACTAAATCTTTCCAACACCAGACCACCTAACAGGACAGTTTCTATGTCAATTTGTGTGTGAGTTACGTGTCAATACCAAGTCCCCTGAAAAAGGGCGCAGTTCCAAATGTCCTTGGTGATGGCAAGTGGGCAAAGTCTAAAAAACTAGGTGTTAACTGAAGTGCTATGAAGTGCTAAAATGTACTGCTCTTTTAGATGCAGACTTTATGCATTCATTCTAATTTTCTTTTTGAGAGAGAATGGGCACGTGTGCAGGAGGGGCAGAGAGAGGGAGAGGGAATCCCAAGCAGGCTCCACACCCAGTGCCTTGGAGCCCTAAATGGGGCTCGATTTCATGATCGTGAGATCATGAGCTGAGCTGAAATCAAGGGTCAGAAGCTTAAGCAACTGAGCCACCCAGACGCCCCTCCCTCCTTTTTTATTTTAGAGAGAGTGGGCACAAGCAGGGCAGAGGGAGAGAGAGAGATATTCTTAAGCAGGCTCCACACAGCACAGAGCCAAATGCAGGGCTCGATCCCATGACCCTGGGATCATAACCTGAGCCAAACTCAAAAGCTGCACACTCAACAGACTGAAGCACCTAGGAGGCCCATGTTATAATGAATGAACTCTTACAACACTCTGGAGGCCAAGTTCCTCGGCTTTCTGTACACAGCCTGCCACAATCTGGCCAAGAGTCTTGCCCCTCCTGACCGAAGCCTGTCAGGTCAACCTACGGTGAATACGCTGCAATTCTCTGAACAGCATCACTCGACGCTGTGCCTTCTGAGGTAACAAAATTCATCTTATGCACCATGTGCCCTGGGAAGCCTTCCCAGCACCCTGACACACTGGCACAGCTGTGTGTGATCGCCCACTCATCAACCCGACTGGCTCCCTGAGGAGCCTGGCTGGGTCTCTGGGTGCTCAGTGCAGGCAGACATACCGGATGAGGAAAGAACCCAAGCGCAGAGGTCCTGAGTTACCGGGACGCGCTGCGACCACACCTCCACGTGTTCACGCTTCCCCGAGAGCTCCACGTCCATCACCGATTCCAGAGGACGGGATTAGCAGAGGTTCTTGGGACCCCCCTTTTGTGCCCTCAGTAAACACCACTTTGAAATGAGATTCTTTCTCTGCATATCAGACTGTCACCTAAGCCAGCTAAATCCTGCAGACTGATCACTAAAGGCGGTGCGCGCAACTTAATTCTAAGACCGCAAACTGAATGTAACAAAAGACACTTGACATGTGAGACTGTAGCTGGGCAGCCAACGCTCTGAAGTCCAGGCTGCTGTCAGGGTCAGGATGGACTTACGTGAACCAGAGAAATGCTCAGGTGACCTAAGGTCTGTTTCTCCAGGCTCGGAGGCTGTGAATGACACCCACCTCCGGCCTGCGTCACACGTGGCATGGAATGGCGGGAGCTGTGACCGGACTCCTTTCCTTGCCTAAGGGTGTTCCCAGCTCTTCTCCACCAGGTCTGAGAAGTCAAGCAGCTTTAGTGCTTGCTCTGGCTTTGCTCATAGCTCACGAATCTTGTTTTGTGCACAGGCACAATCGTTGAGGGGAGAAAAAAAAGAACATGCTCCTCGTACCCACCTCTGAGAACTGGAAAACCAAAGCTTGAATCACACGAGCACAACTTTCTGGCACTCACAGCAGCCGAGCGTGCTGATGTTCTTTAGCTCTCCAGGTGAACTTACCTTTCCAAGCACCGAGTTTAAGTCCAACGCGCTGGTCGAGAAAGCAGCGGGCTCGTCAGCTTGGATTATGTTGGTTACGTCCACGTCTGCGTCTGGTGTCTGAATCATCTTCGAGAGGCCGTCAACCGCAGCTTTCAATTCATAGAGACGTTTTAAAATATCATCTTGGCGGGACTCAAGGGCTTGAAGAGATGGGTCGGACTCTTCCTAAACAAACCAACATCAACACGTTCATCTCCTCTAACGTCACAGCAGCATTTACATTTGATCCTCTGTCTTCTGCTGAGTTCCATGAATTCATCAATACCCCCCCACCTCTGAAAAGAATTAAAATGAAGTAGCAGAATCATCTCATTTTCCAATAGGTCCTGCAAATCGATCCACAAATGTTTCAGAACAAATAAAGAATGTGACTGAAAGCCATTCTGAAATTGTAGGACTATTTCAGGTAATTTAAGAACAGAGGAGAATGATGGATGAACATAAATCTTATTTCTTTATTCTCAGTATCAAATTAGTTCAAAATACTTTGCTTCAACAAACAGAAAAAGATGGGGGGGAGGGCAATGAGAATGTAACTGAGAAATTTATACAAATAGGAGAGAAAATGGAGCAGAAGCAGGCTCAACACAAAGTGTCATTGGCTTGGAAAGGTATGTCCATGGAGTCAGATGATCTATTCCCCACATCGTTCTTAAGGCAATGCTGGCACTCTCTTAGAGTCATCCAGAACTTTTTCACACTAACATCCTTTACTCACTGAATCTCTGCATTCTTCTTGCCTGGTATAGTCACTGCTACACAGTGAGTAACCAATAACATTCACTGAGGAAGAAGTCTCAAACCTCTACAGGCTTACTTTAAAAAGCACTAACAACCCTCTCAATAAAGTCACATCGTACAACCTATTTCCAGATTCACGAGCTCTCATAACGGATAATCCATTTTGAGCTGAGAGAAGAGTATGTTAAGCAAGAAGAAAATGCTCGTAACTAGAAAGAATAGTCAATACGGCAGTGACCTTGACGTGACTGTAAACGTGCACTCACGATGCACTGTATTTTGTGTGCTGGTAAGCCTGATGTTCTCAGGAACTTTTCTTCCTCGCACAGCCACTCATAACACTGCCCTCGCACAGATCTAGTTCATCACCAGGTGAGGTCCATTTCCTGGAGTTCATCGGCTTCTAAGCTTTCCTCAGCTGTCACTGCCCAAGTTGAAGACACCACTTCTCACCTAGCCTGCTTCCGCTGGTCACCTTGCTCCCATTGGGGTCACCCTTCCAATCCGTCCCTAAGATGGCAGAGAGATTAAAACAAATGTTGATCCAGTCACCCCACCTCCATGTTAACCTCTTAGGCTCTTTGCCTAAAAAACAAAGCCCTTAAGAAATAGTCTGCATTGGAGCACCTGGGTGGGTCAGTGGGTTGAGCGTCCGACTCCAGCTCAGGTCACGGTCTCAGGCTTCATGAGTTCGAGACCTGCATCAGGCTTACTGCCATCAGTGAAGAGCCCACTTTGGAACCTCTGTCCCTCTCTCTCAAAAATAAACATTAAGAAAGAAAGAGACAGAGAGAGAAAGCAAGCCAGCCAGCCAGCCTGTCTGACTTGTCCTCTGGGTACTTCTCACATATCGCTCCCCCTGGAGCTGTGCTCTACCTATGCTGCCCTTCGGGTCCCTAAAACACACCATGTCCCCACCTACCACAGGGCTCTTATTTATTCTGTTCCCTCTATCTGCAACACTCCTCTCTCTTCTCCTAGACCTTAATCTGCACTTTCTCGCCTCCCCTAGCCTGCCACTCTGGTTTAAGCTCCAAAAGCAAAGAAACGTAAGATAATTGGCTTGCGGGTGGAGCAAAGAAGAACAAAGACTTCAGTGTGCCAATTAAATAATTAGGGGCTGACTAGAAAGAAGTCTGAATTCAAGATGTGTGACAGGCACGGCAACTCCTGTGTAACGTCCTTGTGTTCTTCAATGATAGTCCTCGAGTGCTCTCCCAGTTTCTTTTAATCAGCCTTATTGGTGCACTGTGTGTGCACAATCGTGCTCCTTTCTACACACGGCAGCAGGGTGTCCCTGACGAGCCAGGGCAGAGAAGCACCTACTGTGTTCACCACGCCAGTCAACACACCGAAGACGGTCCGAAGACTGACTGGGAGCCCCACTCAGCTTGATTTCACGCCTCCTGGGGTGAGGAATGAGGAAGTGCTCACAATCTGCTTTACCTATGCCATTTTGCTGGCCTGTGGCTTGTTTTCCCGCTCGGATTAGCCTGTGACTCGGCATGTCGTGTTTATCCGTTTTATTTTATTAAAAAAA